TAGAGGACAGCATAAAATTACAAAGGGCTATTGAATGGCTAAGTGAATGGGCAAAACTGTGACAGATGCAGTTCAAAGTAAGCAAGTGTGAGGTTATCTATTTTGGACTGAAAAAGGATAGATCAGAATACTTTCTAGATGGTATGAATTTAAATACAGTGGATGTTCAGACAGACATGGAGCTTCAGGTGCATAGATCTTTAAAATATAATGAACAGGTGCAGAAAATAATGTAGAAAGCTAATTGAACACTGGCATTTATATCTGGAGGACTGGAATATAAGGATACAGAAGTTATGCTGCATCTATACAAAACCCTAGTTAGACCTCACCCAGAGTACAGTGAGCAGATCTGGGCACACCACCAAAAAAAGGATATATTGGCCTTAGAGGGAAGATAACATAAGTTTACAAGAATGATACCTGAACTTTAGGGATTAAATTATAAGGACACACTATACAAATTAGGCCTGTTTTCTCCAGAATTTAGAAGGTTAAGGAGCCAGCTGATTGAAGTCTTCAAGATATTAAAAGGAAAAGACTGACATATTCTTCTCATTTTCAAACTGGGTGTAAATTTCAATCATGTTGTTTCACTGCTACCTAAAGGAGCCTTTACTCTGAGATCTTTAATTAATCTATCTTAATACCAAGTCTAGTTGATTTCAGAATGTGTTGCTCTAAGAAATTATTTTAAAAGCATTCTATGAACTCTTCATCCAAATTATCATTGATAATCTGATTTGTCCATTTTAAGTATAAACTAAAGTCACCCATGATGATTGCCATCCCTTTATTATAAACACGCAAGTTTTTTTTTCTAGTATATTTTGTAGTTACATTAGGGGACCTGAAGACCACTCCCATTAATTACTTCTTTTGCCTGCCATTCCCCACTTCCATCCAAACTGATTCTGCACTCTGATCTCCTGAACCAAAGTCATCTCTAACTATTACAACAGTGCTATCTTTGATTGAGCGCTATCCCTCTATCTTTGCTGAATTTCCTATTCTTCTTGAAAGCTTTATAATTCGCAATATTTTGGACTTAATCTTGTCATCCTGCAACCACTCTCTGTAATAGCTATCAGATCATTTTTATTCACTTCAGTGTGTGCGATCTTTTTTTTATTATGAATGCTGCATGCATTCAGATAAAGACCCTTTAGTTTTGTCTTCTTGTTATGTTTGTAACATTTAGCCTTTACTGTTAATGCATTCAACATCCATCATGACTGTCGGTGCATTCCAGGGACCTGGCACGTGCTAATCCCAAGCAGACAATTTGCTTGAGTACTTGGCCATAACCAACATATTCAATCAAAACATAGAATGTCAGGTAGCGACACCAGAGGCCCTCTCTAGGCGGGATGAAGATGGAGGAGTTCATCTGTCTTCTGTCTACTGTGCTTGTTCTGGCATATGAACAAGGGGCTTCCTCCATGGAAAAGGTGGCAGGTGCTTTGGCACATTTACAGCAGAATGTTCAGTGGCTGCTGAAAATTCATTTGGACTTGCAATGCCCTCGGATACTTAATATCAATGACAAGACGATAGCACGATAAATCACCTCAATCTCATTCCAGGTTTCCTGTCCTGTTAAGGAGATAGGATGGCGCCAGCAGGCACCCACAAGGAGGAGACATGCAGGCACTCCAGGAGCTTCATGTCACGACACTTCAGAAGAGTTCTGCCCCTTCCTCTCCCCTTTTTCAGTGAACACATTGCCTATAACAGCACTGGACAAAGAGGGTACACCTGCATCTCTGTAGGAGATTGTCAGCAGGATGGCCCTGATCTTCCTGGAGATGCCCGTCAAATTCTTCAAGGTTACAAGTACAAATGACTCAGCAGGCTCTTTCCACCCCAGTTGTGGAGTCAGGGCTGTGCCAATAGGAAGTAGGAAGCAGAGAAAGGGAAGAATAAAAATTTGAAGGCACTTCGGTGGTGTAGACATTTCACCACTATATGTGTGTGCGATTGACAAATGTAAATATATACTCAATTGCACTGTTCTAACATCTACATTGATCTCATATCCTGCTAGATGCTTACATGTTTGGTTGACGTGAAAGCAGTGGAGCATCTCCACCACTACAAGAAGATGCTGTTCTTCCATCAGGGCACTTACGATTGTATCACAGCAACAGGAATGTGTGTATCTCCAGTCTCTTTCATGACCCAGCAAACTACAGACCTAGAATTTGGGCAGTGCAGTCAAAGCTCCAGAAGTAGCATTCAGAAATGCACATTTGTCCAATCAGATCAATGGAAGAATATTGGGCTGGAAACAGCCATGTAGTGGACCTTGAACAGGCACTTAATGGGCATGATGCAGGGAAGTGACTGGCATCTACAGAGTGTAGGAAGCAAAGTCTTTTTTCCCACGGCTGGGGTGTCCATAGCCAGGTTAAGCGTTTTCAGCTTTCGCGGTGCACAACACATACCTGAGAGATGACTCTTTGCATTTCTTAGTGGGGAATAGTAACACAATGTTTCTGTGCATTTACATAGATCATAGTAGTGGAAGCTCATTCCCTGAGGATCCTCAGTCATTGCAATAGTAAGGTGTAGGATTTTAACATTCTACGGGACAGTAGGGATGATGAGGGAAGTGAATAATGACATTAGGTAGGATATCACAGAACTGAGGATCTTTCTCCAGGGCGAAAATTCCCTATTCTGCCTCCTTGATGGAGGGGTAGGCTAGAATATGGTCGTCCTCCATGAATATGTATTAGCTGGGTGTAGCCACTGTGGAGCAGCTGCGGGTGCATGCGGTTACTGAACACCCTATGTTTCTCACTTAAGCTTCCTTCCTTAGAAATAGGTCACATACCATACGTGGTCAAAAGTAAGAATACAGCCTTTATTGCAAAAAATACTGCAAAACAAAACCTTTCTCAGTCAACGAGGTGTCTTGAATCAAGCAACGTGGCCTTCCAGCTAGCTGGTCCATAATAAACAGAACATTCAAAGAAACATATCCATGTAGCTCTGTACTACTGAGGTTTAAGGCTATGAGGTTTTTCACATTTCTCTGGCTTGTCAGATCATAACTCTTTCGTTTTGACATCTACGACAGCCTTCTTGGGCTATCTCAGGATCTCCACCTTCACAGAAGCATAGAATATAGGAGCAGACATAGGCCATTCAACCCTTTGAGGCTGCTCTGCCATTTGATATGATCCTGGCTGCTCATCAAGCTCAATGCTATAATCCAACCCTCTCCAGTATCCCTTGATTCCTTTAGCCATAAGAACTAGCCATTTTTCTTTAAGCCTGCTGAATTCATTTTTCTTCCATTCTCAAGTTCTCACGAAGAGTCTAGAGGGAAACATTAACTTACTTTATAGAATCAGAGAAACTCTACAGCACGGAAAGAAGTCATTTACAGACTCAGCTCCTCCACCCTCTCCCTTTAACGTCACATTTACCGTGACTAATCCACCCAACTGCATATCTCTGGACACTACATGGCAATTTGCCTTGGCCAACTGATCTAACCTGCACATCTTTGGATTGTGGGAGGAAACCAGAGCATTCAAAGGAAATCCACACAGACATGGGGAGAACATGCAAACTCCACTCCAAGGCTATATTCTTACAGATTGCCAGGAGACCCTCTGCACCTTCACAGAACATCTCTTTAGTTGTTTACAAATGAGACCTTTACAGAATAATTACAGCACAGGAGGCCATTTGGCCCATTACATCTCTGTTGACTCTCCAAATGAACATCTCACCAAGAGGCATTCTTCTGCCTTCCCCTGTCATCCTTCATATTGTTTCTGTTCAAATAATCGTTCTTTTGAATGCCTTGATTAAGCGCACCAGCCTTTTATTCTCCAAACAGAACGGTTCTGACTTCTCCAATCAAACTAATAATCAAAATTCCTCATCCCTGGAATCATTCTCATAAACATCTTCTGTACTCTATCTATTAGCCTCTTTATCCTAAAGTGCAGCATCCAGCTTTGGTCACAATATTCTGGTTCATTCTAACATAACCTCCTGACTTTTGTACTGCATATTACAATTACAATTCCCCTATTAATAAAGGCTAGGGGCCGATGTTTGTTGCTGATGGAAAGATCTGGAATGTTTTGGGTAGTTTCACTGTCACTGATCCTTCTTGCTCGCACAGGTCCATGTTACTGATACCAAGCAGGCAAGGATGGCACACATACACTCTCCATTAGAACAGGCTCAATCTTGATGAACAATAAATAGGTTTTTTCAATGTCTATTACTTAGTAGCTAGTTAGATTAAGTACATATTACTCTTTAAGCTACTTGCTGCTAGCACTAACAATTAATGCATAACTCATTGGACTTAGAACTTTAATGAACTCCTCCAAGGCGCAGTCCCTTACATCCCGATGGTGCACCTTATCGAGATGTTAATTCTCCCTTTCACGTACTAAATGTCTTGTAGAACACTGCATACTTCATTAAATGCTTTCTCAATTTGTCCTGTCACTCTGCTCTTGTAATCCTATTTCAGTCGTAACTTCATCATATATTGTCGGTATATATTCTTCTTCCCAAAGTGCGTAACCTCACAATTACGTGCATTGAACTTCAAGCAGCTATCTACCCTGTCCAGCAATTTGTCAACGTCTGAGGCCTCAATTCTCACTAAGACGTAAAATAATGATTTTCAAATTTCGTTCCTACAAATTTGACAAATTAAAATTTAAAAACATAGCTTATTGAGAAATGTACGTTTGTTTCCCTTAAAGTGGACGTGATACTTTTCTTCCAAACTGCTCACTGAACTGCACATTTTTTTGAGTGATTTGCATTGATTATGATGATTTGCTGACCCTTTTGCACCTTAAACTGCGGAGCAAAGTAATCCTCTTCAATTATGGCGCAGGATAAGACTTTGCGGACAACAGTGACAGGTTTAACCAATCAGATTATAACCTCAAAAACCTTGATCTTCATTGGTCCAGACTGTACCAGCGGCGCCGAGTCTGACGGCCGTCCGCTTCGTTGATTGGCTGCGCACCACATCATTCAGTTCATTCACCACCTCAAGGTTGGGCTGGTCTTCGGAGTCTGCGGCGTCAGATTTCTATGAATCACGGCGACGCCATTTTCTATTATTATAATCACCGCGCAAGGGGAGTGGGCACGGAGGGCTGGTCTCCTGCCTCCTTACTCAATAATATCCGCCTCTGTCTGGTGGCGCACTTCTCAACCTTTCAAACAGGCATCAGCGACGCTTTTGCGTTTTAAGTCCATTAGGCGGTTGAAAACAAATAGTTAAATTTGTTTTAAAAATAAAGCCCGACGATTTCAAAAGAATTAAGTCAGAACCATGACAGACCCCGAGTGGCAATCTCCCTCTGTCTCGTCCTCGGCTCGCTTAGACGACATTGTTGATGATCGTACCGCCGAAGGTACAGAGAAAATGCTGGATGATTCGGATCCTCTCAAGCCCGGGGCAGGCGACGCACCCATATTTGTACCTTCGGTCTCTATACCTGCGGTTCCAGGCGCCTTCGAGCCGGCAGAAGGCACTACCATCGGACACGAGGATCCCCAGCAACCCGCGCCTCTGCCCGCCAGAAGCCGGCCCGAACCGGACTCCACCTCAGAGTCGGCGCCTGCTACATCCACCGTGTCCGCCAAGACTCGCCCAGAATCTGTCGGTAAGTTTTAGGATTACCAGCTTCACCCATCGCGGTTGCTTATAACAAGATATTCTGGTGACCAACTCAACCAGAGAGGATGCGGCTCCACAACGTTGCCCCGCTTTTAGTTCGGCGTTCTTGCAATTTTAACTAGAATTTGCGTTTGAAAGTAAGTTAACACGTCCCGCACATTCCTTTCCGCCCGAAGTGATCAAGCAGATCGTTGTATGGTGTATTTTAATGGAGATTTTGTATTTAAATTACGCAGCATTAAGTAACTGGCAAAAGGAGAATGAAGCTTTATGAAGCCAGTGAGTCACGATACACTGTTGGAAGGGCGGTGGTTGCAGATCCAATAACTTAGAAAGGGAAATTTACAAAGGGGTTAGAACCGGCAGAGGCCAGACATGATGGGCAGAATACCGCCTCCCACCTATTAAAAGGTTTGGGTGTGTAGGGTATAGACTTTCGGGTTTAAAATAGTGAGAATGCTTCAGTTGGGATGATGTAACTGCTGTGCTCGGTGGGTGTCAGACAGCATGAGAAAGGGAAGTCAGCCGGTGGGCCCTTTGCTACCGGTTTCATTGACTGTCGCCAGGACCTCTCCGGTGATTGGTCAGAGCCAGTGTCATTCAGAAAGGTAGTGCGGGTGGCAGCTCCAATCACCGCTTGTGAGGGCGGGCCTTCTGTCAGGCGCGGCTGGGCCATGCAGTATGATGTCAGTTGTGAAGGGTCACTAGACCCGAAACATTAACTCTGATTTCTCTCCACAGATGTTGCCAGACCTGCTGAGATTTTCCAGCAGTTTCTGTTTTTGTTTCAGACTGATGTCACCTGTGTGTGTATGTGATCCAGTTCACACAATGGAATGTTAATTTAAAAAAAAAATCCACAAGGAGGCAAAGTTAATTAAACGTGGGCAAGAATTGGTTCATTAATAATGGCAACTGTTGACTACTGAAGTATTAGGTCACTATTTATTTATTTTTTTGCTTTGATCCGCTTTGTAATCTCTTTAATTTCTGGAAACAATATGGGAGCAGTGACTGCGGCTGACTTAAAAACCAAAATGCTGCGTGACGCCCTGTTAGTGCCACTCTGCAACATAATGTTTGAAAACTGGTTCCAGTTGAAGTCATTACTTCCTTACAGGCGCTAGGAGAAAATCTATTAAGTACAAATAGAATTTTAACCTCTTGCCTCCAGTTCATGAGCTCTTCACACATGAACTTTCCTACCAGAGGTGAAACAGGAATAGTGGTATTTATAACAATTAATTGGCAGTCTAGGTGGTAGCAGAGTAAGAGAGTTTTGGAAAAAACTTCCAGGTGACCGATATGTATCTCATGTTGCTCTTAGGCATTCTGAAGTTTTGTTGATACATTCAGCTATCAACCTGCCTGTCCCTTTTAAGTCACAGCTCAAGTAGTCTAAATGGATGAATCTGTGTAGAACACATGTAAGGTTCCTTGGGTTAATCAGTGAGGAGTTGTGGCTAATTCATGGAAACATGGCAAATTTTACAATGATCTTAAAGCAACTCATTATTTTGTTGCCACAGTGCTTCAGGAGCTGAGTACTGTGGTGCTGATTCTGTCTTTGACTCTTAGATTCTCCACTAACACCATTCACGATGGATCTTTTTTAATCTGTGGATACTATCTCTTTAATTTTTGAATCTTATACTTGGGGTCCCTGTTGTTTCGGCCAATGTCTGAGGTCACTTCTACTTATGAGGTATTACTACTTATTTATCTTCTATCTTTTGGACCTAATGTCTTTTGTTCTGTCACCCTTGACTTGACCATCTTTAAAGTTGTTAACAGGATATGTGTTTATTACTCCACTCTTCTCCTCTTTTTCCCGTCTTACGGGAGATGTTTGCTGCTACGCAGTCATCTGTGCTTGATGCCCTGCCCTGCAAGTCAGCTTTGTGCGATGTTTGTTCTTTCCCTACTGATTTTGTTACTGTGCAGGTGTATAGAATGCAATTCACTGTTTTTTGCTTTGCCGCTTGCAGATTAGAATTTGCAAAATTTAACCTCAGCTGCTGCTGGCTCTTCTATAGCTGTGCCAGTTTGTTTTTGACCGTGAATATTCTTATGACAGATGTTTCAGTGGCCCTTTTGACTTAGGGCTCGGAAAGCACAAGTGTTGCTTATTTGACCCCTCTTTTAACATGAAGCACTTGAAAAGGAGCCTCAATGAGTCAGTGAGTAAAAATTAAAAAAAGCAGATAAACATCACAATACTTTAGACACTAAGCTTTCCGTGAGCAGAGTAATAGGGAGTGGCAAAGATTCACTAACATGCAAAACAAGTCTACAACCACGTTAGGTAAGATTATTAAAAGTTTAAATGTTTGATCCATGGGCACTGCTGTAGGCATCAGATGGCTATGTACGTTATAATTCCTTATGGTAAGGTACATGAATAACAAAATTGACACAAAGTTCGATATCTTTAAACCTTTCATTGGAAAACCTCTGCACCTCCGTTTTAGTGAATAATAATTGCTTTAAAAAGTACCTTCAGCAAACAAACTTTTCCCGTATGTACTGGAATTGATATTGCAAAGACTTGAGTGACCTTTTGCAAGTGTAGTTCATTTTAGTGTCTAAACGAAGAGATGACTGTGGAATGTGACTTCTGTAAATATTGGATTTCAGTATCTTAGCTTCAGTATCATAACAATTGGATTAATAGCATGATTTAACTAAGCCACTGCTCACCACTAACGTGGTACAACTCCATTACAATATACTTGTGTCAAATGGCAGATTTCCACTTTGGTTTGGTGGGGGTGACTACCCTTGCTTGTTGGCAAATTGGTTGAAAGGAGCAGTTGTTCTTGGAGATGAGATGATGGCAGAATTGGGTAAGAACTGCTTGAAAAGAGAACATACTGATGAATCTAGTTGTCATTTTGATGCTTATTCATAATTTGAAGACACCAGATTGGGGGAGAATGGCTTTAACATGTACGTGAAAAGACTTGTTGAATGTGGGTGTAATTGGTAAATGACCTTTAATGTTAATAAGTGAAGTTTATTAACACTTTGTGGAAGAATACATAGCTAACAGTTGGAAGGTAAATGTCTAACATTGGTAGAGGAGCATCGGGGTCTAATGGTTCAGATACACAAAGAAACAGAATATAGGTGCAGGAGTAGGCCAAACGACCTTTTTGACCCTGTTCCATTATTCAGTATGATCATGGCTGATCATCCAACTCTGCCCTTTCCATGCTTTGTCCCCATACCCTTTGATCCCTTTACCCCTAGGGGCTATATCTAGCTCCTTGGAAATATCAAGTTTTGGCCTCAGTTGCTTACTGTGGGAGAGAGTCCCTCTGGCTGAAGACATTTCTCGTCACCTCAATCCTAAGTGGCCTACTCCATTGTTTCTAAACCTCGACTCCTGGTTTCAGACTCACCAGATGTCGGGAACATCATTCCTGCGTTTACCCTGTCTAGTCCTGTTAGAATTTTATAGCTTTCTATGATACCCCACCCCATCATTTTTCTAAACTCCAGTGGGTATAGTCCTAACTGATCCAGTCTGTCTCTATATGTCAGTCCTATCAGCCTAGGAATCAGTCTGGCAAACTTTGTTGCACTTCCTCCATAACCAGAACATCCATTCTCTGACAAGGAGGCCAAAACTACACAAACGCTACTCTAGGTACAGTTGCAACAAAACATCTTTGCTCCTGTACTCAAATCCTCTTCCTACGAAGGCCAACATACCATTTGCCTTCTTTGCTGCCTGCGTCACCGGCATGCTTACTTCCAAGTGAACAATGATCAAAGTCACCCAGGTCTTGTTGCACCTTCTCCTTTGCCAATTTCTTGCCATTCAGATAATCTGCCTTCCTGATTTTAAGATCCAAAGTGGATAACCTCACATTTATCCACATTATACTTCATCTGCCATGAATTTGTTCACTCACTCAGATTGTGCAAATCGTACTGAATCATCTCTGCATCCTCCTCACAGCTCACCCTCCTATCCAGCTTTGTGTTGTCTGCAAACCTGTAGCCATTGGTTTAGTTTCCTTCTCTAAATCGTTATTATATATTCTGAGTAGCTCCGCTCCAAGTACTGGTCTCTGTGCTGTATTTTTACATGCTAATTTCTTACACGAGACCTTATCAAAAGGCTTCTGAAAGTCTAATAAACCACGACAGTTGGTTCTCCCTTATCAACTCTGCTAGTTCCAGTGTTGCAAAATTCCGATAGATTTGACAGTCCATACTGACTCTGTCTGATCTTGTCACTGCTTTTCAAGTGCTTTGCTATTAAATATTTTTAAATGGCCTTGTAGCATTTTTCCTATTGCCAATGTCAGGCTACAGGTATATAGTTCTCAGTTTTCTCCCTACCTTTTTTTTTTAAAAATGCAGGGGTTACGTTAGCTACTCTCTGATCTATAGGAACTGTTGCAGAGTCTATTGAATCTTGAAAGATGGCTGTCAACGCATCCACTATTTGTAGATCCACTTCCTTAAGTACCCTGGGATATAGATTCTGACCCTGGGGCTTTATTGGCCTTTAACCCTATCAATTTCCCCAAAACACTCTCCCTACCATTTCCTTCAGTTCCTTCTTCTTGCTAGATCCTGTGCTGTCCAACATTTTTCAGACAGTGTCCACCATTATGGAAACAGAACCAAAGTATTTATTGATATAACAACAGGTAGAGCTGGATGAACACAAGAAGCTAAGCAGCATCATAGAAGCAGGAAGGCTGACGTTTCAGGCCGAGACCCTTCATCAGAAATGGGGGAGGGGAAGGGGGTTCTGAAATAAATAGGGAGAGAGGGGGAGGCGGATAGAAGATGGATAGAGGAGAAGATAGGTGGAGAGGAAACAGACAGGTCAAAGAGGTGGGGATGGAGCTAGTAAAGGTGAGTGTAGGTAGGGAGGTAGGGAGGAGATAGGTCAGTCCAGGGAGGACGGACAGGTCAAGGGGGCGGGATGAGGTTAGTAGGTAGGAAATGCGGGTGCGGCTTGAG